GTGTGTGATAAAGCCTTTTCCAATCACTTGCTGCGGAAAGTAGTTAGCCAAAAATATAAACATGACATAAAGCAAAAAGAATATGAGGCTTTACAAGAATTATCCTACTTTAGTTTCTTAACTTATATTTTATACATAGCTTACTCAAAATTAGTATCCTAAAATTTCATATTTTTACACACGCATCTCACCACCAAATAGAACCGTCAAAACGGGTTAAGCCCATCGGGCCAGTCCTTTTAAGCCCTTTTAAGTGGAGGGCCGGACTTGTATTTTATGTGGTTTAAAAGGAAATTGGGCTTAAAAGGACTAGCTCTATAGGGCTCAAAAATAAAAGGGCCAACCCTTTAGGGCCAAGGGCTAGTCCTTTTAAGCCCGCCTATTTTTTTTATTATCAATATATTTATAAAGATATAGATTAGTCTTTTATGAATAAGTTTAAATTAGAAAAATACTTATAAGAATCAATATTCAAGTTAGATAATTGAAAAGAATTAGATGTCTTGGACTTGTGGAAGAATAATTAAAATCAATTTTCAATTCTTTCAAAAATAGTAGCTGATATTCTTAACATATTAATCACTATAATAGCTAGTAGATCTTCATTTACCATCGGTTTACATATCCTAACAAAGTGTAAAACTCTTCTTATTCGAACAAATATTTAGGCTCTTATTTGTACTTATAACTACTGTATAGTTTTATTTTAGATAAGGTAAATGAAGACAAAAACCTTAATATTTTTATTATTGAAGAAAAGCTCACTTGTAGCAAAGAACAATCAAATATTGCTGATCTTGATAATACTGATGAAAATGAAGATAAAGATAATAATGATGTTGATATTGTTAATCTTTAGCTGTTAGGTTTTTATCTTTCTGTTTTTCATGTTTTGTTAGATTTTGATTTTTTTTTTATTTTGGACAATAGTTTATTGGCATTTAATTTTTTTTTCTATACACCACTAATTTATTTTACTTATATTTATAATTTGAATAAAAAATCTTAGAAGTTTTGTTGTTTTATTTTTTATTTTAAAATAATTAAAAAGAATTTAAATTTTAAAAAATAACATAAAAGGGCTAGCCCTTTTAAGCCTTGAGCCCGCATATTCAAGAGCCAGGCTTTAATAATTAGATAATTTTAAGGTATGTGGGCTTTAAAGGACAGACCCTTTTAGGACCATAAAAGGCCGACCCTTTTAGACCCTGATCCTTCAAGCGCTAGCCCTTTAGGGCCGGGCTAGCCTTTATTGAGAGCTCTACCACCAAGCTATCACGAAATTTATGAATGGAGCTTGCTAGAGAAACTCTTAATTATTTGAATATTTATAGTAACATTCAGGGACTGTTTCATTTCCTGTTTTCAGAACAGTTTTTTTTTTTCTTTCTGAAAAGCAATTAAAAAAATTGTTTGAAAATGTGTGTTTGTTTATGTGCTTTGAAAAATAAGAAAAATATTAAAAATTGTTCAGGAGAAAAAAACATATGTTAGATGTCTTCTTATCTTCTTGTTCTGTAAAATTAGAAAATAAGTGGAGAAACATTATGGGCATGCTTGTTTTATTGTTTTGGAAACAATTTTTTATTTTTAAAAATAAAAAAACTTGTCTGTTTGTTAATTTTTAACTAGGTGTTCTGCAAAACAAAAAATAAAAATATATTTCAGAAAACAAAAAACTCAACAATTTTTACAATTTTTTTTTGAATTTTTTGTATCATGTAGTTTTTTTTTTTTAAACTAACCTTTTTAGACACTCTCCCATTCTATCTCTTATGCTTATCTGCATTGTTTCTCAATCATCTATCTTTTTTTGTCCATTGTCAATGCACTTTCCGCTCTGCCTCTCACTTCTCTAGTCGTTTTTCAAGTTGATTTTAAATACAATATTCCTGAAAAAAAATTTCATTTTCAAATGCAAATTTTTGGAACAATTACCCAAACATGTTTTTTTAGTTTTATAAAACTTATTTTAAAAAATTTATAAAATTACTCTAAAAACGTTAAAATAAAATAGAAACAAACAAAGCCCAAGTTTTTAATTAAGGACAATTATGCAAGTATAAAAATATTCTTTCACCTTTTATTTCACTGTTTTATACTCCCCCGGTCTTTAAAATAGGACTTAATTATTGAGTTAATTTTGATCCTAGATATAAGATCTATTTATCATATTTATCAGTTTTTTCTGAATTACTCTTATTAATACTCCTTCAAGCATAATCAATTAAAAGAGGAAATGATGATGTTAAGAAAGATGATTATGGTATTTTAAGAAAAATATGTCATATTTCTTATAATTAACTAACTTATTTAACTTCTTTAATCTAATTAAATTAGTAATAAGTCTTATATTAAGAATAAAAAAAGTATATGTTTTTCAAATTAATTATTCAAACAGATTTTTTTCCAAAGTTGTTTTGAAAGACTACTCTTCAAACTTGGTTTAAATAACATAAAAAAAAAAAAAGAATCAGAAAGCTCTTAAGCACTCAATTAAGCCCACAAGAATTCCAGTATGTTATTTATTTCTCAATTCATTTCTTAATCTTTTTATACTCGAAAATTTGAACATTAACGAGGCCCCTTCCTAATTTTGCAAATTATGCTCAGCATTATACACTAACCTCCTTCACATTTTGTCTTAATTACATAGATCTCTTGTTTATTTTGAATAATACACTTACATCTAAATTATTAATATGCTAGTTTACCCTTCATCATAATGCTAATTTTCTACTTTTGCTGAAAATGTTTTGAAGAATTGATGGGTTTTCTTTTTCTTTTCCCTTTTTCTTTTCCTTTTGAAAATAGTTATTTGTTTGATATCTTTATCATATTGGACATAAACTTAAGTACTTTAGTAAATGCAGACATATAAAAGACTTGATGGAATATTTGGTTAATTCTTTTGATAAATATATACTCGACCAATTATATTTATAAATTTAAATAATTTGCCTAATTTCTCCATCTTATGGTATTTATATTATATAACGGACAAAATGCGTTTCAATTTTATCCAATTTTTTTAGACATCCTAATATTTTTCATAATTAATTTTAGTTAATTCTCCTTTAACTAACCAAAATTTTATAAATTAAATAAAATTCCTTTTTTGGACAATTTCCTTTATTTTCACCACAATTGCAACAAATATTGTCCAGGACATTTACTCCATTTGCCATGAATTTCTAAGAATTTTATGAATTTTTGGGCATATTTTTTAAAATGCTTATCCTCACGGACCCAGAACTTTTTAAAATTATGCTTTTGCCTCAATTAGAAATGAGACTATGAACGATTCATAATAATTACCTGAAATCCATAATTTCTAGCCACACCTTTGGGCCAAATAATTTTTAGGATAATTAGACCTCCAGCCTCGCCCATCAGCAGATTTATTAGGCTTGGGAGCTGGGATTGATTTGTTTTAATTTTTGGAATTATGGTTAGGAAATTGTGGACAATTTCCTAACGTGTACGTAATTAAATTTCATCATCAATTCCCAACCAATAAGTAACTCTTCCAAAATCTATTCTCCTCATAAAATAATTTCTGCAGTTTTGTCGTCTCAAAATTTAATCCCAAATTATTTATCCTTTAATTTTTTCGAAATTACAATTTTAAAGCTAAAAAATTATTTCAAAATAAAATATTCCATTTCCTTGGGTAAAATTCTCTTAGTAAATTTTATTAATTCTCACAATAATTATTTCGGACTTTTATGTAATTTTAGTTTATTATATAATTTGCGTAAATATTACCGAATCAGCCAAAAATAGCCCTTTTATTCCCACAAATTCCTTTTTGAGGTATTCTCTTTATTTATGCCTCTCTAAAGCCTCCATTTTTTTTTTAAACCTCTGCTATTTTTCTTGAGTTTATGATATTTTGTGAATTTCAGGAAAACTTTTCATGATTACTTTTTTTTCGGCTGAAAACTTTTTAAAACTATACTTTCATCCCAACTTGACATTTCTATATGTTTCTCTATAATGTATTTGAAATAAATTAAAACCCAAAAACAGGTTAAAGATGGTATGGTAACTTTTATGACGTTTGGTAATAATTTTTTTAAATAATGTTAGAATTTGAATATGTAGGCAAAAGTACGTACGAATCTTAATTTTATGTCATTTTCATTTAAGTCATGTGAGTCTACGCTCTACAAAATTTCTTATTTGGTCAAGACTTTCCTCATTCTTCGCAATCTTAATTTAAAACAGTATATTTGTAAATTTTATAGTCAATTAATTAACCAATTAAAAAATTTTGACCATAAAAAGTTTACTTATATGTAAAATGAATCTTTTTCATACATTGTGATAATTCATTTTAATATTTTGAGAAATATTCCAAAATAAAAATAAAATTAATAAGGGTTAATATAATTTTGAGTCCTTTAAATTTGTTATTATTTTAATTTTAGTCCTTCTAGTTTCACCTTTTAGTCGTTTAAATGTGAGTTGCATGGGAACAAATTTACCAAAAGAGATATAATCATAATCTATAGGTTGACATTAAAAATATAAAATCACAATTTGTAGATTGACATTAAAAATAAAAAACATATGTTTTTAAAAATTATATAGTCAATCCGCTAACCCATCAGGAGGCACTAACCTGCTAGGTTTGACCCGCGGGTCTGCTTGTATCCTGAACTCTTTTAATTAGGAGGCATTTATTAAATATTGATATTGGAAATTAAGTTGGTCCAAAAAGATAGTATGCATACAATTTAAATATAATACAATTTTATTTTATGACATTTTTGTGTTTGCAATACTGTAATTCGTTTATTACTTATCTATTTATATAGCTAATTATTAATTAAAATTTGGATCCCAGAACACTAACAAAAGAGAATGCAAATGGTTGGGCATTGACTACACCAGAGATTTCATTACATATTTGTAAAACATTATATATCACCATAGCTTTTCACATTTTTAATTACTATTTTTGGAATCCTAATTTAATGTCCTGTCCATTTTAGATGGCATGCCCTGGGGAAGGTATTTTAACAGATCTTGCCAAGAGATTGGTAGATAAAACCATAAAGGAAGTTAATTACTTTCGTCATTTCGAGACTCATGATCACGAGTTTGATGAGGACAATCAACTTTTGCGTAGAAGATTAGAGAAAGTTCGAAAGGATATTGACGACGCCAACATTAATGAGCATGAAGTTGAAGGTGAAGTTCAAGATTGGATAAAGAAAGCTGATAAACTAATTCAAATGAATGCTGAAGTTAGGCAAACAAGGTGTGATAGCTGTTCTTTTCTTAGGAAATATCGACAAGGCAAGAGATTGGCACAGAGGGTGCAAGTCATTAAAGATCACATCCAAAAATATAAAAACTTTGAAAGAGTACCTTGCCCAGTTAAACTTCCAGGTATGAAGTACCATGCTTCAAAAGACTTCATTGATTTTGAGAGCAGGAAGACAAAATTCAAACAACTTGTGGAAGCTTTAAAAGATGGAAATCATTACATGATTGGATTGCAAGGGATGGGGGGAACGGGTAAAACCACATTGGCAACACAAGTAGGAAAGCAAGTTGAAGAATCCAAAGCATTTGAGAAAGTCATCTTTGTTGTTGTGTCTAATCCTCCAGATGTCAACAAGATTCGAGGCGACATTGCAAGGCAATTAGTTTTGGATTTAGATCCAAGAGTTGAAGCAGATCACTCAAAGCTTCTATGGTCTAAAATTTATGGTTATGAAAAAAAATTACTTATAATATTAGATGATGTGTGGGAGAAGTTAGACCTCACCGAAATTGGGATTCCATCTGGAACTGATCACAAGAATTGCTATGTTTTGTTAACTACCCGCCATTCAAAAGTTTGTGAAGCAATGAGATGCCACCAAACAGTTCGCCTACACACGTTAGCTGATGAGGATGCATTTTCACTTTTTCTATCTCATGCTGGAAGTAATGATTCTGAGGGTCTTGCACACGATTTTGTGAAGGAGTGTGGAGGATTGCCAGTTGCAATTGTAGCACTAGCTGGAGCATTAAGAAATTGGCCCGTAGGTGAATGGAATGTAGCTTTGACAACCTTACGAAATTCCAAGCAATTTGTTGATATTGATGAAGATTTAGTGACTATTTATAGATGCTTAAAATTAAGCTATGATCATTTAAATGATGAGAAGGCTCAAAGGCTATTTTTATTGTGTTCTATTTTCCCAGAAGACTATGAAATTCCCATAAACCTTATTATTAGACTTGGTATAGGGTTAGGAATTTTTGGTGAACCTGACGAATACTGTGCATCAAGAAGTCGAGCAGTTGCAGTAAAAAATAAACTCATAGCTTCTTCTTTGCTATTGAAGGTTGAGGGAAAAGAATGTGTAAAAATGCATGACTTGGTTCGTGAGGTAGCCCAGTGGATAGCAAAAGAAGATATTCAGGTGATTACAGATTCAACAATGACTTTAAAAGCCAACAAGCGATTTGTGTTTTGGAGTGCTGATGATTTTCCTGATCAACTTGATGATGCAAAACTTGAAATTTTACTTCTTTGGATAAGTGGAAATGCTCTAGTGAAAGATCCAAATGCATTCTTTGCAGGAATGTCAAGGCTCAAAATTCTGTCTTTACTCAGTGGATATGGTAGAAAAGTTCCCACTCCATCACTGTCACAATCACTTCTTTCCACTCCATCACTGTCACAATCACTTCTTTCATTGAAGAATATTCACACTATTATCTTGGATGGTTGGGAATTAGGTGACATCTCTGTTTTGAAGAATCTTCAAAGTCTTGTGACGCTTGAATTGAAAAATTGTTTAATTATTGAATTGCCCAAAGATATCAAGGAGCTACAGAAGTTGAGATGGTTGGGATTAAAGAAGTGTGAAATTCAAAAGAACAACCCTTTTCGAGTGATTGAAAGATGCTCACAATTGAAAGAATTGTATTTTGTCAGCAATTACAATGTCAAAGACTGGAAGCCAGAGGATGACAAAGAAATTGAAGATGAAATTGCTTCTGATATATCTCCTTCTACATTGCAATTTTTTTTTATTGCTTGTGATGTCTTGAAAGGCTTGACTCATGATGATAATGGCTTACCAAAATGCTTCAATACAGATCATATGAAACATTTACTATCAAAAGCCATGTTTAAGTACCTTGTGGAAAGATCAGAAGTTCTTGAGCTGGGAAATTTAGGACAAACAGGATGGAAAAGTCTTGTCCCTGACATTATTCCTGTGGAAGATGAAGGCATGGATAATTTAATCAAGCTTTACTTGTATGAATGGACTGACATAGAGTGCCTTATTGATAGTAATCAGCGTCACAATCATAACATGACAGTCTTCTTGAACTTGATTGAGTTGCATCTGGATAATGTGGATGTGAAAGAATTATGTTGGGGTGCTACGCCTTCAGGCTTTCTTGAGAAGTTACAGATTTTAAAGTTAAAGGGTTGTAGGAAACTGCAAAACATATTCTTAGATGAAACTCTCAAACTTCCTCATTTGAGGGTATTGAAATTGAAAGATTGCACAATGTTCCAACTAGCAATTTTCAAACCCTCTATTGCTCAAAGTCTTGGGAAATTGGAAGAATTAGTAGTTGAAGGTTTTGCAGAATTGAAAAGCTTAATCGCAGATAAGAGTTCAGAAGAAGAAATGGGGGTTGTTAATGATCAAAAAGGTGATGGCTCATTGTTTCCGGCATTAAAGTCTCTTCAAATTAAAGAATGTGGCAAATTAGAAAAGGTATCTTCATTCCTTCTAGCTGGAGACCTTCCCAATTTGAAATATCTATATATATATGACTGTGCAAAGCTAGAATACATATTCGGTGAATATAGAGGTCAAGTTGTGCAAGAGGAAATCAAAATGCTCTATTCGCTAGAAGAGGTGAACCTTCATGGAGTACCAAGTTTCATTAACATATTTCAAAAATGCAAGAGATATGTGCTAAGGCCATCTCAAGTTTCAAAGGAAGATTCAGAGGAGAGACCTAAGAACTTTAAGATGAGTGCTTTCTCTTGGGCTCATGGGTGTTGTTTTCTGGGCCCAAATACAAATACTAATATTGGAGTTTCCAATGCTACACTGCTAAAAGACCCCACAATCTCCCAGGTATGCTACTTTAGTCTTGCTCTTTTTGTCCAAAGGTGTTTATTCTATTAATTAATCTTCCATTTTAGCATATCGTATATGAATGGTTTATAGTCTTATTTTTTCCTTTTATTTACATATATTTTTATATTTTTGTGTTATTATAATTTTATGTATGGGTTCCTTAGTATTTAGTCTTGATAAAGTGCACCTTTACAGTAATTTAATCAATATTGTCTTTATCACGAAATTTAGTTAATATTTAACACTAATTTTTCTTAAAAAATTAGTCTATATTTAACTCCTTGGATGTTGTGGGGCTACCTGCGTCCATTCTGAATGGCGGAAAAGAAATTCCGCTTGTTTAAATTAGTTTTCTTTTGATATTTAAAATGCTCATAATCTCAATTTAATATTCATTATTTTGGACTATTTATATCTGTTCGATGTATATTGATATACTAGCATTTCATATTCTTGATTTAAAATTTGAGATCTATTTTTGTATCTCAGAAATTTCACTAAACTGACGTGATATTTTAATTACACTAAATTTAATGTCAATTTGCCTAACATTAATCTTTTTATTGCAGTAAAAATTAAAGACAAAGGTAAAATACTCACACGCATGCACGAATAGTGATAATAGGTAGCATATGATTAACATGAGCAGGAATTTTGGTTAATTCAATGCTTTATTATTTTTTTATTTTTTATTTTTCTATTATTTGACTAGTATCAGGGGCATGGAAGTTATTAGTTGAATACCTTATAAATCACATTTTATTTTTTAAGGCATGTCAATTGATTGGTTTTATTGAAAGTGTGACATGGCACTTCTAATGTGACGAAGAAGTAAGTGAATCTCATCAGAGAAACAGTGAGGGGAAAAAAATGATAAGTCATGTTTGTTTTTACTTCTTGTTTCTTTTCTTTTAATTTATATGCGAGTCCTGATAGGCCATATTTATAGTCTTTTTTTCTTTATACATATTTTAATTTTTTATGTTATTATAATTTTATGCATCGGTTCATCAGTATTAAGTTTTGATAAAAACAGTCATTTAAATAATATTTTCTTTATAAAAATTTAATTAATATTTAATATTATTTTTTCTCAAAAAATTAATCTATATTTAAGTACAGATTTTGACCCAATTAATGATTTTTTTTTTTAGGTTTGTGTACATGACAGAAAGCTCTTGGAAAAAATAAAATAAAATTATTTCTAGTGAAGTAAATTTAAGAATCTTGAAAGAATACAAATCAAATGTAGTGTTTGGATAGAAACCAAACCATGGTTTTAAAAGTGCTTTTACGGATTACGAAGTAAATATGTGAAGGAGGTTACCTCGTTTTGCGGAAAAGTGCTTCTGAAACCACAGTTTTGGAGCACCCAAACAGGCCCGTAAAATCGGATACCACAAGCAATTAAAAAAAAAGGAATTCTTCTATGCATTAAATTGAAAAAAGTAATTTTATATTGTGTAATTACTCGATTTTTCTACAACTGCAATATTTATCAATAGAATGAGTCTTCATCAGAATTCATAAAGCAGTTATATTAATTATTTTCTTCAGTGCACTAAATTAAGGAATATATATACTATCAAAATACAAACACGTACAGCTTTCGTCTTGGGTTGGAACTGCACACACTCGATTTTTTCATTTCAGTAAAAATTAAAGAGAAAAATAAAAATTCACACGCACACGTGAATAGTGATAACATGCATGTCATTAACTCGATTTTTATTTTATTTTCTATTATTTGACTAGTAGTGTGGGCATGATGTTACCAGTTGAGTGCATTAAAAATCGCAATCTTATGATACATGATGCTTGACAAACTTCTTTATATTTAATGTATTTTCTGATACATTAATTCTTTTTCGGTTCATCTATGGTTATAATGGGATTGTTATTGAGATATATGATCATATGATAGAAAGTGATTAGTTACATAACTAGGTTGAATCTAAGAGAAGTGATTGGTTGTAGGAATCACATGTATTGAGTGAAAGGATTGAAACATTTCATTCAGCTGAGTGTCTTATGAGACAAGCATTGAGCCTACAAAATATAAGGGACATGATGCTTGTTGGATGTTCAAAATTACAGTCACTATTCAGTGTATCCATCGCCACAACCATCATGTTGGAGTATCTGTATGTTGAGGACTGTGAAGAATTGAAGCACATTATAACAAATGAGGCAGAGGATGATGATGTCCATCTCAACTGCACCTCCATCTTCCCAAAACTACAGAGACTTTATGTTCGGAATTGCAATAAATTGGAATTTATATTTCCATCCGCTCTTTCCGGAGGTCTTCAAGAATTAAAGTCTATAGATATTTGGAAAGCTCATGAGCTGAAATATGTTTTTGGAAAATACAATGAAGAAGAGGGTCTATCATATGAGCATGAAAATAATGAGCCTCACATTCATCTTCCTGCATTGGAATCACTATACCTCCGTTATGTACCAATATGATCAGTATTGGTATCAAGAAACATCAACCAGAGTGCCCATCTCTACAGATTATGGAAGCACCAAAGGTACGTAACTATTTTTAATTCATTATTTAATAGTGTCTCAATCTTGCTCTGTTTTTTTTTTTTGGTATGGAATTATATTTTATCTGTTTATTCTCTTTTAAAAGTTTAACTTTAAACTTTTATGTATAACTATTATGGGTCAGGCAGCTTTCAGTTTATGTCAAAATGCAATTTATCAATATTTTTATGTATCTTGTATAAGGATTATTTTATATTCACACAAGACAAACACATATAACTTGCGTCTTGGTTGTATATAATAATTCAGTTTTTTTTAAAATTATTTTAGCTGGTACCTAACAGGAATCGAACTAAAACAATTTGATCTTTAAAATGCTCCTAATTTAATATTCATTATTTTGGAATATTTGTATTTGTTTGATGTCTCCTTTTATGCCCCAAAATTACCGATAAACTGAGGCAGGGGAACCTCCTCTGCTCTTCTTTCAACTTTGTCATAATTATATAAAAACTAACGGCTTCTTAAATATTATTATAATCTTGCCTAAAGATACCAAAAGAAATTTAAACTATTAAATTTGATTTGAATAGTTCATAACTGTAGCGAAAAAAGTGAGAAAAATTATGCTTTATAACCATAGTTTACAAATTACAACTGAAAAATGATAAGATTAAATTTTGACAGTCTTAACTTATTTATATATTTTTATACAAAATTGTAATAATATTTTTATAAAATGTTAAATCTATAAAATTTCTTAATTTTATACTCACGTAATTACTCGATTTTCCTACAACTCTAATATTGATTAATAAGATAAGCCTTTAGATTACATATATTATCAGATATTATATATTGTGGGGTTACATGCACCCTAACCGTTTTTGAATGGCCAAAAAGAAATTCTATTGGTTTAAAATTTGATGTCTATTTTGTACCTCAGAGTCTTAGATAAAGTGACATAATATATTAATTATTAAACTCAATTTAATGTCAACTTCTCTAACTCTGATCTTTTTATTTCAGTTTAAATCAAAATGCAGTTTATCAATATTTTTATTTTGTCTAAAGATTATATGTAATAAATTAGATATTGTTAACAAAATATTTAAACATTCTCAAAACAATGAAGACTTTCATATAATTTTCCTATGGAGACATGTACAATTAATTATGTCAAAGTGATTCGGCTTTACTTCTATACAAATTTCAAATGTGAATTTAAAATATTTCCCAAAAATAATATAGCGTGTTTGTGTTTTGTGGGTGAATGTGTATGTATTTCATAAGCACAAAGGATAGAAATAGAGAACATTATTTTAAATTGTAGGATCAAAATAGATAAAATTATTTTAAATCTTGAATTGTCTTTTTTTGTGAAAACGTGTTGTAGGAAATTGAGAAGCACATGGACGATGTGAGAAGGGAGGGAGTAAAGGAATCTGAAATACAAGAGATTGTTGATATCAAAACACTACTACTCACTCCATGTGTGGGCTTCCAACATGTTCTCAACTTCCACAATCTGAGACAAATAACAATCTTGAAAAATCAGAAGTTGAAGACTTTGTTCTCTGTCTCTACTTGCAGAAACCTATCACAGTTGTCTCAATTAGATGTATGGAGTTGTGAAGAATTAGTTAATGTGGTTGAAGATGATTCTAATCATCATCATCATCATGACATGAACAATAGCTCCATTTTCCCAAAACTGGAGGATCTAAGGATCGACGATTGCAACAAGCTGGAGTTTATATTTCCCCTGTCTCTTTCTGGTACTCTTCAAAAATTAAAATATTTGAGTATCTGGAAAACTGCTGAGTTGAAATACATTTTTGGGAAATATGATGATGGAGATCATTTATCAAATACAATTCATCTCCCTGCTTTGGAAACACTATCACTTAGAGATGTACCAAAGTTAATCAACAATATTGGTGCCAAAAAATATCACCTCAGCTTTCCGCCTCTACGAAGCATTGATTTGCAGGGTCTTCAAGAGTTCAACGGAAGATCTTTTACAGATTTGGTGGCTTATTTACAAGGAATACAATTGAATGTGAAAGCTCCAAAGGTAACACATTTGACTTCTTGTTCTATGATCTGCATGTTGCTCTGTTTATTTGGATTGCTTAGCATTTAAACTTGAACATCAAGAATATATTTCATGCTTACAAAATTTTCATGTCAAGACATTTCATACATAAAAATTTATAATTTATTTTTTATTTATAAAAGTTTTCTTTTCATCAATATATATGTGCGCATGCGCACCTTTAATCAAAATCTTACAGAAGATGTTAACTAAAAAAAACAATGACCTTAAAAATTTAGATATTTCTTCTAAATAGTTTGAAATATAACTGGTCCATATATATTACTTTGTTTATTTTACTTTTTCTTCTTGGAAATTTTCTTCTCATCACAACGGGATCGCTTAGCATTTAAACTCGAACACTAAGAACACGTTTTTCATGCATGAAAACTTTTCATGTCAAGACATGAAATTACTAAATTTTTTTTGGCCACAAAAATTACTGAATTTTCATTCATAGAAATTAACAATTTAGTTTTAATTTAGAAAAAAATTGCTTTTTTTTCCATCAGACTCTTACACGAGATGTTATTTTTTTCATCAGATTTTTACACAAGATGTTAACTAAAAAAAGCAATGACCTTAAAATTTTAAAAATTTTCTAACAGTTTGGAAGAAACCTGCACCATATATAAGTTTATCTATATAAGTTTATCGATTAATTAGCTTCTCATGTATATATACATTTTATGATTTCAAGTCGATATAATTAGGTATAATCAATATGTATGTGTCTTTGACTTGTAAGCATTCCAGGCATCAATAAATAAAGTTTCTCTTTATATAACTCAATGCATATTGAGACATCTATACATTAATAACAGTATTGGGATTTTTCACAATTTGTTAATGTGGTAATTTGAATTCATGCTGAAATTTTGAATTGATTTATTTTTATTAGGACCTGATGAAAATTATCAAGGATATGCAGAAGCTGACAACTCTTGACTTAAGAGACTCCAAAATAGAAGAGGTTCTTAATTTGGAAGGAGTGGAAATTGAAGGTCCATTCATGACATTAAGCATTGCCACGATGCAGTTGGAAAATCTAAGTGAGTTAAGGCATACATTCAAGGGTCCCAAATATATTTTGAGCCTCCCCAATCTTCAAGAACTAAACATCACAGCATGTAAAAAGCTAACAGCAATATTCTGTGTCTCAGTAGTGAAAAACCTCCCACAATTATCCTATTTGAGTATAAAAGAATGTGACGAATTGGTTGACATCATTGGAGAGAGTGATGGGGATCATTTGCATCAACTTTATTTCCCAGAGTTAAAGAAAATTTACATCAAGTGTTGTGATAGCTTGAAATTCCTTTTCTCTATCTCAACATGTGGGATGTTTCCAAAGTTGGAGGCCTTGGAAATAAAAGAAGCCTCTGAGTTAGAGCAAGTGTTTATATACAAACAAGATGATATGCGGAAGATGGCAAAAACGGAAGAAGTATTTCCAAAGCTATCAAGGGTAACACTTGAAAAACTCCCAAGGCTTATTTCTATTTGTGAGGGTATTGATTTTAAGGATATGCGATATTGTAGAGTGGAAGATTGCCCAAAATATCAAGGTACAAATCCAGAAAAAATCTTTTAATAATTGCTACTGTTTTTATGAATATTAATGAGATTGAAAATTCTATTGCAGAAACTAGTCAAATCCAAAAAGAGCCTCAAAATGGGAATTCAAAAAATCAAGCAACAAGAAGAAGTGTTTTGCCTGAATTTGCAGAGGTATATATATTAGACTAATCATCAAAAGAACAAAAAAAATCATTATTTTTTTTTTTTGGTATTTTCTTTTACTAGTGAATTTAACCTGTCCATAAGTTGATTACTGTAACTAACTTACTTATTAATTATGGTGTTGGTTAGAGCTCAGAGGAAGCAATGAAGAGAAGTGTTGAAGAAGTTGGATCATCAATGGTACATCACCATATCTTTCTACACACACAAGAGCATAGTTCTTCCGCACCAATATAAAACTGATAGCATGTTTAGTACGTCTTCCAGTACCAATAGAACAAATGTAAACCATGTATAATCTCAACTTTAGTTTGATTATTTATAAACTAACATATTTTTAGGAAAGGAATTGAACATTGAACACACAAAAAAAAATCCATGAACTAATGAAGTTCCACCAGGTGAAATACCTCGTTACATCTTTTGCTGTAATTCAGAACTATAAAGAAACAGAGAAGAGAAGGAAGTTGGCAGAGTAGCTCCTAATCCTTCTTCAAAGATAAGTTCAATAAATTGATGAAGTTGCTTTACTAAACAGATGTCATCGTTTGGTGTTATTCAGATATCAGAAACAAGGGAAAAAGTTAGAGGAATGGCCTCAGAGTCATCAGCGACAACAACTTCATCAAGTTCAAGTTCAAAGGTGATCAAAATGACATCTCCAAGCTCTTCATCTATTATTATTAACTTGAAAAAAGTTGCCATTTGCGTTCAGACCAATTCTGTTGTGAATATACCAGTATGGTAACATTTTTATCTAATTTTGTTTAACAAAATTTGTCCTCCAATGTTTACTCAAAGTTCACAAACAGAGAAAAAGGCTGTTAGAAGTAGTGATAGGTGGAGACGGCGAAAACCACATAACAGAACTCTGTTATATATTATTGACAGGAACTTGGTTATTGTGGATGAAGGGAGAAAAGAACAGTGATTTTAGAAGTACATAATAATTTGAAACTTATAGCCTAGGAATCGTATGTATATTAAGCTCAGTAAAAAAAAAAAAGAAAAGAACAGGGGTTTTAAATGAAATATTTAATTATCTGATGAAGCTAAGGTAATAACTTCATCAACTCATTCATAAGTTTAAAGTTAATTATTGAAGATGTGAAAAAAAAATCACAAATATCTAATATATGTTGTTGAGTTGAAAGATCAGACTTATGTGCACATATTATATATATATATATATATATATATATATTATAAAAGCAAAGCTATTCCAAGGATAAAAAGTATCTTTTCTCTGTTGCAGATTACAGAAGAGACATTACTCAAAATTCAAGTCAAGAATCCTACGCTAGCTTCAGTAAAACAAGCATCAGGAAATTTAGCAGCTAAATCTCAACTGAGAGGGACATCTTTACAAGTAAGTTTATATATAGATCACTTAAGTGATTTCGACATGATAAGACTAGAAACTTGCCAAAATGGTTTTCTGCTAATTATTTAATATTTTAAATAGGAATTGGAGGATGAACACCGAACAAGTGAATCAACTACACAGCTCCAACAAGAGGTTCTTGCACAAACAAAAACCACTAAAGCTTCTCATAAAACCTATGTATCATTTGATGATAACGTAGGTTATAAGCATAGAGGACTACGTTATTTTCAAGTTTGATCATTACAATATATGATAACGTAGTTCTTTATTCATTTGTTGATTTGGATTTGACGTCATCAAAATCAAGAAGCCAAAAACAAGCATGACACACCAACAGATTCTTTCATATCTTTTGGTATTTTTGCAGTGGGTTACTTCCTCAATTGTTTCGCAAGTTGAAGGCTCGCAATGTAGTCCATCTTCAATGGTTAGTTCAGTAAGCTCATCATTTTAAACTCATAGCATGTTTTCATTTATGGAGGAGCACAACTGGAAGAGAAATTTCTTTGTTTTCTAGGTTGCTAGCGTGAAAGAAACACATGAGCAAGGCTCTCAAGAGGATGATGCAACAGAGGAAGCCACAATAGCAGTTCAATCAACTGATTCAGATTCAAGGAAGAAAACCGAAGTATCGCCCATTACTGAACAAGTAAATGCATTATAGTTACTAGAAAAAAAATGCATTATCCTTATTCATATACCTATACCATATGAATTATGAAGTTGCTAGATGCTTTTTTCCTTTTCCTTTTACTTTTTGCCTAGTTATAGTTATGGGAATAATGTTATTTTATCTTGTGATGTTATTCAGAGCTCAGAAGAAACAGAGAAAGAAGCCATTAGAATATCAATGGCTCCAATTTTGACAAATTTAGAGTTGATCAGATTGACATTTCCAATCACTGTTCATTACTGATATAAAATGATTTCAAGTGTGGTGATCAATATCTTTTTAACGTATGAAAAGGTTATAAATGTTAATTCTCATTTGTATTCCTTTTTAATGATTAATCAACATCCAATGACTAACCAACAAGCTTTTGGATTCTTGATTCTTGAACATTGAAAAATGGAACTCGTACACTTGTACATTTTTGAAGCGTCTATCACAACATTGCAAAAGCTGAGGGTAGTACTCCTACACTTATATAACACGTGAAACTGAAACTTATTTCGTCTCACTTTTAGATTACTGAAAGCATCAAAGATACCACTCAACAAGGTCTTGAAAAGAATTATGCAAAAGATGATGCCATGACCGCAGTTGGATCGACTAATTCAGATTCAAGGAAACGATCTACAGGACCAATTGATAATCTCTCTGGAAAAGATTCTGCACTAGTAAGTTTGTTACCTTCTTCTAATTATAGAAATTGAAGTTTTCGGTATGATGATTTTACTCTTACTCTGCATAAGTTGGTTTGCATGTTCACATGTCGACGTCTGTTAGAGTGCATAAGCCATTTCGTTGTATGCAGACTGTTACAAAAACAGGAGATCGCACAAGTATTCAAGAGGAATCTGAATCAGAGAAGCCTATAAAAGCGATCGCTTCCCGAGTCATTACTTCTCTTCATCACCGTAAGCTGAATCAGATTATACTTTCTTTTTTGTTGCTCATTCTTTTGAACCGTTTGCTAACTTTTTGGGCTGTGACAGAATCACAAATTGCTGATGATACTGGCACTTTATCTCATACATTGGGAGTTTGCGAAATTTTCCAACTTGTGGAGCTAAAAGATGGTGAAGCGGCTTTACTTGCTCAAGCACTCGAACGATATCCTCAACTATTGCTGCCTCAGGAACATCGCTCACAACGCATGATAGCCTGGTCCTACCGAGTGCTGGT